ACTGTAATTCCATCTGACAATTCGCCTACTTTTGCTCATCTACTGTTACTCTACGTAAGGTTGCATAGAAGGCCGCGCCGTAGCTCAAAAGGTTAGTCGCTGGCTTCCCACCGCGGCGGCCCGGGTTCGATCCCGGGTCTGGTCAAGTGGGATTTGTGGTGGACAAAGTGGCGCTGGGGTAGGTTTTCTCCAAGTACTGCGGTTTCCCCTGCTAATCTTCATTCTGCCAAATTCTCCATTATCATAATCACCCAGGGCAGATACAATAGGCCAATCAGTGGCCGCCGTGCCGAGTGGACCCAACTGGACTCCACCCCCACCATGCGAAAAGAGACTGCATTAATTTACGTTCGGGTGCAGATATTCACGACTGTCCCTACCAACACATTTACTACCACAACATATAACGCCGTGAAGTCCGTTGGAAGTCAACCAATTTTTCGGAGGAACATACTGCCTCCATCTTCACGGTCGAATAAGCCGAGAAAGATAAGATCGCTGTAAGAACTTCAAATCCTTCTGTTAGAACATTTGCTATATATTGGCTGAATTCTATGAAGACCTGATGAAGAGGAAAAAAAATAAAGATTAAGGCAGACCTGTCAATGACATCGCGACCCCTAACAAAGCCGCCTCCCGTGGTCCAGCGGCAGAAAACGGAATGCCTTGCATCATTTTTCTCTGACGCTACACAAACATATAGAGGGATATTGTTTCCAACAACACAGCATCCCCTGGCCGTCACTGGCAGATAGTTTGTAGAATGAAAGGAAAATAGGCATCTTCTTACATTTAAAAATATCCTTCTGTTATATGTCCATGACCAGAGAGGAGCGTCTACAGGTTCTTATGAAATAAAACTTCTTTACTCGTTCCACGCAGAAGATGTCCTGAGAATTAACAACAACAACGAAGTAGCGACTTTACTGAGGTTTCCGCACGTGGCACACTGGTACCAGTCTTCTAACAATATATTTCATAACTACCTACGGGCTTTAAGATATTGTTTATATCGACTCAGTTTGTCTGTTAGCGCATTTCTTAGTCGGTATTTCGGAAAGTACAATTTTCAGTGTTTAGCCGGGGGTTTTTTGTGTGCGGTTCATCATTATTGAGCCGACTCTGGATATGAATTTTGAAGGCCTTATTTAGAATTGTGTCGTCCGAGGCAAAAGCATAGCCTTCAGAATAGATCCCGGCTCGTAAAACAAAGGATCCTGAAAATTTTTGAATCTGAAGATTTAAAATTATTAAAAGAGACCAATGCAAAAACTTGATTAAATTATGTGGAGGGATGGAGTATCAGCCTTCGGACAACAATAAAAACATCAGGAGGATAATACAACTACAAATAGTTCGAACTGAAACAAATGAGTGTAAAATTTCGTTTCGAGGCCGTATTAGTACTACGTATAGAGGACTTGAGAGTGAAGCTCCATTCATTATAAATTAGGCACTATTTCGCCCTCCGTTCATGACGTAACATTTCGCAGTTTGCTTCCTCACACTGCTCTTCTGTCTTCCGGCGGAGATGAAAGCCCACGACAAAATAAACGTACTGTACATAGTATCAAACTAGATATTTATTTTCTACGTCTCTCTCCTCTCATGACTTACTGTGTTTGCTGTTCTAGAATTTCGTTGATGTTATATTTTAATGTTGATTAAGGGCAGTCAGATTATCGGCTCATCACTCTTGAAAACGAAACGTACGGCTGAGCTAAAGCGATATCACAGCATTTCCACCGATTACAATTGTTTCGCACCCGACTTTTTTTCGCTTACTCGGGGTTGGAGTCCAACTGGGTCCACTCGGCATGGCGGCCACTGATTGGCCTACTGTATCTGCCCTGGGTGATTATGATGATGGAGAATTTGGTGGAATGAAGATTGGCAGGGGAAACCGAAGTACTCACAGAAAACCCGCCCCAGCGCCACTCTGTCCACCACAAATCCCACTTGATGAGACCCCGGGATTGAACCCGGGCCGCCGCGGTGGGAAGCCAGCGAGTAACCGCTTGAACTATGGCGCGGCCTTTCGTAGCAGACTTACAGCTATGCTTCCGCTGCTAACACAGGAGTGAACTGTTCCACGAAGCCCCAGTACTATTACCTTCCAACCCCTCTTGCGCAGACCATAGGACACGAAGAAATAATAGGCAGTAGCGATGTGTACAAGGGACAGACCTGGATGATTACTTCAACCCAAGGGTCTGCATTTCCTTCGATATCAACAAAGGATACAGACGGTCGACTGTCCGGTCCCCTTGTGACAGAACCCATTGTGAGTCCTTTTGTCCACCCACGCTCAGGATATTATATCATGGACATTGTGGCGGGAGGACGCTCCCAAAT